CGGAGCCTGCGGGAGGCAGGGCGGGGGCCCGTGGCGCGGCCCGCGGGACGGTGGGTGGAGTTGGGCGACCGGGGAAGGGGAGGACCCGACAGGCCAGGTGACAGGTAATTGTGACCCTCGGGCCCTCCCTCCGGCCTGGTAGGCACTAGCCTTCCTTCTTCCCCTTTCGGGGTGGAGGGGAGGTGGAGGAAAGACAGGGGGTGGGTCCAACTCCAGAGCGGGAGATTGGGCAGCATTTCTTTCAGAGCTTTCCAACGAAGTGGGCGAAGATTCCGCCGGCTGCCCCGGGTAGAGCGCAAGTAAGGTCCCAAGGCTTGCAGAAGTACCTATCTGACACTAAAGAAAGAGGCACAGAGGTCTTAGGTGGGGACCTTTCTAGCCTGGGAAGCTGGATACCGACCCCGCCTATTTTCGCGGTGGAAACGCAGGGCAGAGATGTGGCTCTCTCCGGCAGGAGTCTGGCTGAGTCTCAGCAAATTGAACTAGACACAGAGACGGTCCTCGGAAACCTTCCACTGGGCTCTACTCTTTACAAGTCATTTGCTCAGTTTGAACATCTCTTGACTTTCATTCTAAGGCATAAATTCCTCTATGGCATTTCCACATTAGGATGATTATGTAACCTCTCAGCTAAAGCTGTATCAACATACCCTTTCTTAGGTGGCATCCTTGGCTTATACATTCCATTGTGTGACTCACCTGGGAGTTCTACACTAATAAGCAGGGAGCATGTGTGACTTTCTGCACTCCCAGAGGGGCCCTCCGCGGCTCTCTTCCAGCCGCTGTTACTGGCTGGAACATCACTGCAGCTTTTGTGTTTTAGCTTCCCTTTTATGGACTGGAGCTAATCATGGTAATCTCAATCTCGCAGGGAGAATTACCTGCACACGCCTGTAAACCACAGTCATATCTCTTGTGGAAGTGATTTTTCTCAATTAGCAGCTCAAGTACAGCACAGTTGCGGCTCATATTGTTGCTCTTGCTTACCAGTCGTAGCTCAAAATCACAATTATTCTAGAATATTAAACAGTTATAGGAAAGTATTGACAATTTGAAAGCATACTTTGATGTGTAACTCAATTTCTGAGTTTGGTAGAGGGGAAAAAAAGCCCTAAAGTAGTTCTTTGACAATAGCTAGAAGTGACGCAGTCCGTCATGGTGACTGAAGATCTGCTGTCCTGGGTTCAGAGTCTGGTTTTATTCTGGGTGATCTTAAAATAGTCACTAAACTTTGTGCCTCAGTTTCTTCATCAGAGATGTTGACAATTACATGACAATGCCTAGTTTGGGTTATTGTGAAGAATAAGTATGTTGGTTTCTGTGCCCTCCTTGGAATAGTTCTGGCACATAGTGAGCATTTATTCTACCAAAGTACTTAGTGCCTGTCGTCTACCAGTGACTGGGAAAACTAGGAGGGCCTTTTTGTTGTTGGTTAATTTTATACGTGGTGAGCAAAGAGAAAGGCTAAAAGAAATTGTAGCTAAGGGCTGAGCAGGGTTGAACTACCTCTTACAGGGAAAAGCAGGGATGTCTGGCTCCTTCTCCTGAGAGATGGGAAGGCAGTGGAAGCTGCTGAGTAAAGGAAGAACAGTTTGCCTTCTGCTGTAGATGGATCCCTATGGCTGCTTTGTGGAGCGCTTTGGGGAGAGGATGAAGGAAGGAAGGAAAACAGGATTTAGGAAAACCTTGTGCGGGTCCAAGCAAGAGGAACTAATGGTTTCCACAGGTGGAAGTGGTACAGATGTGAGAAGCCATGGCCCCTGGATGCTTCCTAGTTATTATCACTGTCACGCTCTCACGGTTTATATCCCTTCTAGGTCTGTTTCCTCACTGGGAAAATAAAGGGGCTGGGCTCATTCATCATTCCCTCTTAGCTTTTAGAATATTCTCTGGTTTGTGGAGAGCTGTATAAATACCAACCAAATTTAAAAGGGGCTGATGGTAGGTGCTTTTGAGTGAAATAATCTCGAGTTGAATCTTGTGGTAAGTGGTTTTGTAGGGTGAAGAACAGCCCTTTGATTTGTTTCATGAATGGAATTTAAGGTTTTGGATTGCTGAAGATGAGTTTCTTACATTTTAGGGATGGAAAGAATAGCAAGGTATTAAACCTGCCCTGAATACTTTGTCAAGGAGAATTATCTTTTATTCAAAAAATTCTTTATTCCTTCGTAGTCTACAGAATGGTTAATTTTATACATGGTGAGCAAAGAGAAAGGCTAAAAGAAATTGTAACTAAGAGCTGAGCAGGGTTGAACTACCTCTTACAGGGAAAAGCCATTAGCAAATTAATGAACTGTAGAGCTCAAAAAATCTTTTTCAGAGTTGTAGAGTGAAGGACACACAAACTTTGCACTATGCTTTGATTACAGAAATTGCTATCTAAAAATCATTAACTAAGATTGTGGCCCATTTAAAAAATACAACTGAACTCTCAGAATGAACTGCAGTACTACTAGAAGCTACTCAAAAGGCTGTAAAAGGGAGGAGGCAGTCAAAGACAATCAGCAGTGAGAAAAGTAGAAATAGGACTTTGAAGATAGACTTTGCTAAAGGATCTTTCCAGATAAAAACAATGCGTTACTTCCCTTTTTTCTTATCATTTTATAGTTTTATTCAAATGTATACATGTAGAATTTCTGAGATTGGGAGTGGAATAAAGCACTGATGGTGATTCAACAGCCATTTGATCAGTATGGCTATGAGCAGAGGTGGTATGAACCAAGAAGAGAGATTTGCAATGATTCCACCAGGAACCTCTGATGTGAAGGATGACCTGCCAGGGTCCCTGGGAGTAGCTGCCTGCTCAAAAACTCCTTTCATAGTAAAAGATCTGTGTGCCTTTTATGTTCTGTTCTACAATATTGCTGTGCTTATTTTGATAAATATAAGGTGATATAAACATAGATGTATTTGAAATAAATATAACATGCTCCAGACTTGTACATTTAGTAAAACATCCCAAAGTTTACTGTGTTTATTACCCTATGGCACTGACTGCGTTCCCACCCTGAGGCTGAAGGGTGGTCATCACCCACTTTGCAGAATAAGACCCTGCAGTGTTCTGGGCCCATCCAGGCTTTCATTTCTCCACAGCTGCTTTTGTTGGGCCAGTCTCTGTGCTCATGATCAATATTCATGCAGGCAGCAAAATACACCAACTCAGCATTCTTTTGTTTGCCTAGTTAGGTAGGAGGGCAAACATTTATCAAGCTATTTTTCAATATTTCAAAATACAATTACAGTTTTTAATTATTTTAGGAACTGTAGTTGTGGTCAGATAATTATTTTGGAGGCATACACACAAATTCCTGTTGTATCTAAGTAATTAGGGGACAGCCATAAAACTTGGCAGTCAATGCTAGTTCCCGACATTTCATTACTTTTGGTTTATTTATGAGGAAAGTAGAATCAGCCTCTTGTGTGTGTTTTAATTTCTTAGCAGAGGCAGGATTGATTTCACAAAACCTCCAGTTTAAGAAGACGATCATGAGCCCATTCAGGAGGAGCTCAGGGCTTCAAAGGTGTCTGTCGCTCTGTGCCCTGGGAATGTTGCAGTGGGCTTTTTAGCATGCCTAAGAAGTCAAGGCTGGAGCGCAGCCCCTTCCTGACAGAGCTCCCTCCTGTGAAAGGTAACAAAAGCCTGGCTGGTGGGAAAACAGAATGTGTTCTACCTAGGGACTCACAAAGAACCCTGCTTCCAGTGTGCTTGTGTGTGCGCTGAGAGTCAAGGATGTGTTTCTGCACTTTCTCTTCAGCCTCACCTTCCTGCAGTTCTAAGAAGCAAATCTGTGAATTGGCCAGGATTTTATGAATAAGGAATGTGACAGGCCTTGGAGGTGGTGCCCCAGGCCTAATTACGCTCTTGTCTTGCCTGACACTTCTGTTTTCATTTGCTGGCGCTTAGTGCTCCCTTTCATTGCCTCTGTGATTTTATTTTCTTCTTGTCAAGTGGCATAAAGGGCTTCTTAGTCTTGTAGTTTCATGGAAACTTGCCTGGCTTGCCTGGGTGGAAGGAGACCAAGATTCCGATTCAGCCGTGATTTGGAGGCTCCGACCCTTTGGGAGGAAAACAGAGGCAAGCTGCCAGGTGAGCAGCTGCCTTTTAGAGGAAACATTTAGGTGGCATGGATTTCTGGCCTCCTTAAAAAGTAAATGACACACAATAGCAGTCAGTGCAGCGCAGCTTCTGAAAACCTACTATCCAGAAGGCACCTGGGAATTTAAACATCACCCACATTTGATTACTGAGTGATTCAGAGAAGACGTCCTTGGTATGCCTCAACTATTCATTGAACTGGGTTGTTTTAGTTGATGTCTTGATCATTTTTAAAAAATAAATGACTCACATATACTTGCACTTAAGGCACTTAGATATGTGTTTCTTAAGGGTTTCTCTACTATCCTAATGTCAGGGCTCAGGACACACCATCTCAGAATACAGCTGCAGGAGAACAGAATATGCCACCCCAAAATATACTTTTTTGGCATATTTTGAGCTGGTTATCCTCAAATTGCAGGTAGGAGTAGCTCTGAAAAGCTGACCTTTTGTAAAGATTTTCTAGAAAGAAAATCTACAGTGGTAAAGGAGGTAGAAGGGGTGCTGTGGGCAATTTTTATCACCTAAGAGACTTATCTGCTTAACTGGACAACCTCTACCCACAGTCACTTTTCTGCATTGCCCCTTTGTAACTTATGTCACCATCACCCCAAGAAGCCCAGAGCCCTACTGTTCTTTTGTGTAACTACAGATACTATGTAAGCTTCACTCACCTGCCCCTTCTTTGAGTCTCATATATTTGTGGGGCTTTCCTATGTGTGTATTTTTTCCTTATAATCTGTCTTATGTCTGTTTAATTCATAGTTCAGCCAAAGAAGCATAGAGGGAAGCCATTCTTTCCTTCCCTATATTCATATTATACAAGATGCCTCCTCTGAACACTCTCTTCCATCTGATGATATTCTGAATGGATCTAACAGTTTCCCTGCCAACATAGCAACACAGCCCAGAAAAAAATGAAAATGAAATGCTTCGCATTTGGGGACTGCTTCCAACCCATTCCCAATCAGGTAACATGTTTTCTATATAAATGTAGTTTCTCTGGTACACAGTGATTTTGAGCTTGACTTGTACAAGAAATTATTTTATAGAGAAAAATTATGTGAAGAGTTGAAGAAAACGTGTGTGTGTGTGTGTGTGTGTGTGTGTGTGTGTGTGTGTGTGTAGTGCTGGGGATGGAATCTAGCGTCTTGTGCATGCTCAGCTCTACCGCTGTGCTGCAACTTCAGCCTGAAAATGTTTTAAATTAAGATGGAAGTTCAAATTGGCCGTCTGTGCTGTTAAACCTTCATGTCACTCATTCACAATGATGGCCTTTGGCACAGTGTTGCTTCTAAACCTAAAAATTTGATGGAACTCTATAAATTCAGGAGGCGTTAGGCTGGGCACCACTTTTCAAAATTGCCTGGGTGTGTGTGTATGTGTGTAGAGGGTGGGATGAGGGAGGCAGAATTTTCTTGAAAGCCAACCCTCCTTTTAATTACTAGGAAGAAACAGAGGTAACTCAGGGTATCAGTGCTTACTAGAGAAACAGATTTAGTGCAAGATACACAACTATACAACAGTTTACAAGACTGGCTTTCAGTGGTCTCCACAGAGTCAGGTGTGGAAGCATGCAAAAGGTCTGTCTGTGCACCGGAGAGCTGAAGGATCTGGTCGAAGGCCTGGGGACCAGAGTGGTGTCCTGTGTGGGTCCGTTTCAGGAGGCTGAAGCGTCTGGAATGGAAGGCTGCAGGGGCTGTGCTGGAGGCGAAGAGTCTGGGCTGGAAGCCAGGAGACCACGTCCAAGGCAAAGACTGAAGCTCCTTGGGAGGAACAGAAGCGACCCTTCTTCATTTCCCCTTTGTAGCATTCAGGTGACAGGCTGCCCTAGGGTGTGTCTTTTATCTTCAGTAAATGCTCTGAGCCATGCTCAGAACTATGCTGATAGAATTTAGTTGGGTGTTTCTTACTCAGATTGGCACAGTTAACTATTACACTCAGAGAAAGTCAATCAATGTCTGTGGGGTTTTTATTTTATTTGTTTATTTTTGTTCTGGTGATTGAACCCAGGGGTACCCTGCCATGAAACTACATCCGAATCCTTTATCTATTTATTTATTTTTTGTTATTTTTTATTTTGAAACAGATAAGGTACCTAGGCTTGTTAAGGTACCTAGGCTGGCCCTCCACCCTGCAATCTCCTTTCAGCCTCCTGTGCAACCCCAGCTTGTCTGTGCTTATTTTTGAGCCCATCGATTTAATGCCAAGGAAAAGTCCATCATGAGGAAGAAAGGAACTTCCTGATGCATTTTTTTTTTCTTTGAGATGCTTGGAGCAGAGGTGCAAGTATTAAATTTCTACTCTTTGATGCTTTCTCAGCTTTCTCTGTAACAGTTACTTTCCTTGATACCAATCCTGAATCATCTCATATATGACTCTTCCCAGCAAGTTCTGTTCACCTTAGGCACTGGTAGTTTAATAATACAAAATGACTTGTTTGCCTGTAATTCCAGCTTCTCCTCTGGACAGGTCTGCCCACTTCATTCCTGGTCCTTGGATTCTTCCCTATGCCTTCCATCAGAGCTGGGCTCCTCTCCTTCTGAGCAGCGCCCGCCATCGCCTCGACTGTCTTTAGCAGGGAGGACCTAGTGGGCAGATTCTCACCCAGCCTGGAAGAGAAAATTAAAACACAGGCCATTTATATATGAGCCTTCTTTGGGGGCAGGAATAGGTAATGTTTGATTTTTAGGAGATTAATATTCATTGTTTTCTCTTTTGATCACAAGGTATAACTGGCTCAGGTAGAAAAATGTGTATCATCCCAATTCAAACCAAAGTAATATAGCTAGAAATTATTATGAAGAAGTTACAACTAAGAAGTGACATCAGATGATTTTATAGGTTATCTGAATGTTAAGTGATATGCTATAAATGGACATGAGAAGAAATGAGCTTAATGAGAAGATGGGCAGAATTCCTGAATAGGAGCAGGACAAGTATTTTTTCAGGTGTTGTGCTGATTTTAATCTACAATGTTGTTTAATGTCTGCTCCAGTGGAAGCTCATAAAACAGCCACAGGCTCACACCAGAGTCTGTAGTAATTATGACACAATGCTAAATTAGAGCATCATCCAGGAACCGAAGAATACCCACATCATTTAGCAAATCATAATTTAGTGTCCTTCTTCAGCATTGAGCTTGAATTTAGTCAGCATGATCTTTTAAAAACAGAAGTTGTGATCAAAGCACAGTATATGGTTGTGTGGAATTGTCATGGTGAAACCCACTAATTTGCACAGTTAGTGTGACTTAATTATAATTTTTAAAAAATTAAACAATATAAATTGTGTAACATCAACCCTCCTTAAAATCATTTGAAGGGGAGGGCTCCTAGTTTATTTCCATGATCTTCAAAGTTTACAGGACCTAACTTGCCTAACTTTACCTGGGGGCCTGAGCTCTCCCCTGTTGACCACTCTCCAGCCCAAACTGGTCTCCTTAGTCTTGTAGCTACCAAGGATATTCATTCCTCAGGAGCTTGATCTTTGCTCCTTTTCCTGCCTGTAATATACTGCGTTCAGCAATTTTTTCTGATTTTTCAGCCCTAAATTAAAATTTAGGGCAGAAATTTGGGCCTAAAATTTGGCCCAAATATCACTTCTTACAGGAAGTCTTTCCTTATGTAGAGCTGGCCCAAGCTCTTGAGTGTATTCTCGACACTCATCTTCTACATTGTATTTGCCTCTATCTTTAAAGGTCATGTTTGTTACTTGGTGTAGCCTTTCTACCTAGGAGACTGAGTATGACTATGGGAATTAGATATAAGATCTGTTATTTGAATGAATAAATGAATGAAATGGACCAATGCATAATGTATAGCCACAGATCTGCAGATGAAGTACAACCTTGTAACTGTGAGGACTCCAGGGTCCCAAGGCTGGAGTCCACTCATTCATCTCCTGGTTCACAGTATGAGAACAGTTCTCCTTGGGTTGACTCTGCTCAGGGGTGTCCTTTCCATCACGAGAAGGCTGATTCTAGACATTGAATGGCCTTTACATCAGTCCATGTTAGACATTAGCCTAAGTTGTTGAACCTAAATTTAAAATGTCAGAAAATACCCTGTTAGCAATGAAAAATTGGACTTGTAAGGTCAAGTACAGAAAAATAATAGTGGGAAAAAAATCTCAAAGCATAAGGATAGCAATATAACAGCTATATTAAGTAGTAGTATTATTTCCGCATCGTGTCTGGGTGAACCTCAGGCTCTTTAGAGTAACTTGATACTGAACATGACCATCTTCTCTAAGTGGGATGAGCAATGAAGGTGTGACCTTTCCAGATGCTGCTTTAATTTTATTTAACAAGCACTTGCATAGTGATCACTGTGTGCTGGTACTGCTCTAATTACTTGACAAACACCACCATAGACTGTGTCCTCTGGAGGCAGTAGTTGAGACAAAGTTTGGGTGTGAGGTGCTTATTAGGGATTAACACCTTTGAGAGAAGGCAAAGTGGGACTGCATGCTTGGCTCTGCAAGCCTAAACCAAATGGAGGGAGCCTGAGGCAAGTGTGGCCCTGCATCAAGCCAAAATGGCCTGGTCACCCCAAACTGGTCACCAAATGTGGGGTCCCCTATGAAGGGCATAGCCTCAGTCAAGGCAGCATTGTACAGCTGGGAAAGGCTGGGGTAGAGAGCTGGACGAGATTTCGGACCATATTCCCTGTACCTGAGCAGCAGGTCCTTCCTTGAAGTGGGATTCAGGTGGTGCATCTCTGCCTGCTCAGATGTTAACTCTTCAGACCCTCATAACAACACCATGAGGTGAGGCCTTAAACCCATCTACCAATGTGAAAACTGAAGCATAGAGAAGTTAGGGAACTTGCCAAACTTGGTCCGGTAGCAGAGCTCCAGAATTTGAGCATGTCACCACTCATCTATGCTACCTTGTTATTTCATAGAGAAGGACAAGGATAGCGTAACAGTAACAGTATTGGTACTGTATTTGATATTTTGAAGTGCACTCACATTAGTGCTTTAGTTTTTGTCTAGTTCTTTGTAAGATTGTGTGTGTGTGTGTGTGTGTGTGTGTGTGTGTGTGTGTGTGTGTGTACCTGGTCTGGTACATATATTAGGAACAACATCAAAAGTGGAAATTTGGGTTTGTCTACTGCATTCAAATACTGAATCACATCTATAAAAATCTAAGAATGAGGGCTGCAGGCCTTAAGGGCAATGACTGTAATTCTGTCCTGGGACAAGAGCGTGTGTGCTGGGGTTCTTATGTTGGCCTGAGAAGAAGGAAATCTTCTGAGTTCAGGGTGACAGAGTGGGTAGGTGGAAGAAAGACTGTGTAAAATGCAGGTGAGGCTGGCCAGTCTGTGCTATGCCAGTCACAGATGCAAAGTGTTAACAGAGCGAAGGGCCTGAGGAAAAAGTAGGTAGCACTATGAGGAAGAGACTAAAAGAGAGGGAGGGTTTAGCAAATTCCAGCAGACAGGGCCCTAGGCACTCTATAGAAAGGACTAAAGACAGTTGAATACCGGAAAGACCAAGGAGGTCAGAGAGGAGGAGCCGAAAGGTGATGCCTGGCCTGTTTGCCAGGGTTAGGGTACAGAGGGGAGGAAAGAGGAAATCCAGCTACAGTAGAACATTTCCATTACCGTTTTTGATTCATAGATACACATAATCTTCTAGAGATATTTAAAAATGATTTTGTATATTACAGAATTAAAGTTTAAATATTAGCCTTAGGTAAGAAAGAAATTCAAAGACAGCAAATTTTATTTGGATGATGTAGAATACACTTTTTCCCCCAATTTAGAGTTTATTTTTGTTTAGAAGAGTTTATACAACAGTCATTATCCTTAAGCCTTTTACTCTCATAGGATTGACTGGTTTTACGTTCTTTTTCTGGAATTTGGTGAAATCCACTCCCTGAGCTCAACAGAGAAATTCTGTTTTAATCCCTTGCTACTTTTGTGTGTATATAAAACATAGTCCAAAAGCCTGGAACAAAATCTTGGTAGTAAGTGTTCTTCGCAAGAAATAGTCAGCAGGGATAAAGTTCAGCAGCATGACATGTAAACAGGCCAGTGTGTCCTCTGAGCCAGGGGATTAAGGGATTCTACTTGGGATCTGTATGAAGGTTATTCTTGCCACTGAACTGATTATGTCACCATCATTGACCCTTGTGTTAAGAGGTTCTTCCCTTGGAGATATTCTTTCACATTCTCTTATGGATATTCTAGCGTGATTTATTCATTTGCCCATTTTCATAACATGTAGAGCCATTTTAGAAACTTGCCCTATAGCCCACAGCATAACAATACTCTAAATAATTTACAAAGTGAAGCAAGTGCAGAGGTGTTTAAAAGGTAACGTACAGCAACTGCAGAACTCATGATGCCAAATACAGATCTTGTTTAGAGTAAATACTCAAATCCATTTATTACACAGGACAGTTGGGAGAAGGTGAAGAGACCAATGTCTCTGGAGCATAGGATATTTCTAGTACCTTCTGTACTACAAACCAGCATGGCTTCACAGAAAAGTAGCTGTTTCTTAGAGTAAACAGTTTGTATTTGGAGTGGGAACAAATAGCTTCTTTCTGAACTCAAGTATTTCACTGAATAATGTTTTCCCAAACCTAATTGACCTTACAAAGGCAGAAGCGAGAATAAGTGTATAAAGTTGTCCACAGTTGGAATTACAGCGATAGTGGAGGGAAAGGCAAAGGCTTGGCATCTTATGAGCTTTCTATTGACCCTCTGAGGAGCCTGGATTTCCTGTATGCTGTTGCTTTTCAGCTGGGCGTGGTTTGTGGGATACGGTGCAAATAACTCCTAATCTAGGGAGCACAAGAAAGGTGGCTATGCCAAGACAGAGGAGCTTGTATTTAATCCCTGGGCACTACATTCAGAAATCACCCAGGATATCTGTCACTTCCAACAGCTGGATTCAGTATCACAAAAAGAATTTTTAGTAGAGTGCTTTACTCATCAAAAATATCAAGATACTTTCTTGTGAAAAAGTACTTGAACATTTGGAGGTAAAGTTGGTGGATCGGGTACACACAACTAATAGTTCTATAAATAAGGCTGGTTTCCTCTTCAGCATGGCTAGACCAACTAAATATGTATTCTATTCCTCCACTCAGCTGAACCAACCTTAGGACAAATCCCTTTTCCCCTTCTAAGAAAACAAAGACAAGTATTTAATAGACAGGTCACCAAAATGCAATATCTAAAACATACTTGGTCATAGATAGATCTTAAATGAATTTGATGAGCTACCAAAAAGGACTCTCACCCTGTGTCTCTCTTGTAATGCAAGCCATACACATATACTTCAGCCTAGCATTGTTCTAGA